TATCACATGGTGATATTGCCGAGCAGGACACGTGTCCACTCACAAAGAAGTACAGGACGATATACGGTTATACCGTACGAAGTGGTAGCAGGGGGCGCACCTTTCCGGTATGGGTCAAGTGCCTCCAAGCTATAGGCGACAAGCCCCAAAGCTGCAAGCGGCAGTACCACCCGTCAGTTGTTGGGAGCCTACACCCACAACAATCATCATACTGCGCGACGCGTCCCGGCAACCTCCAACCGTTGTCATTCCTGGTCAGCCACCCGAACCTATATAAGGACGGACCCTTACCCTCATCAAGTAAATAGAATACCTGTCACTTGCACTTAGAGTGTCTCTTTTCTATTTCCTACTCTGATTTACTAACTTGACCGTCGGAGTGTTTTAGGCGGGACACAGTACCGACGTCAAGTTCTTTGTTGCAAGTTCAACGATTCTCAGGCAAACCTATTCGTATGTAAGACACGTGGCTGCTTCCCGGAATTCGCCGTCAACAATAACTAAAAGTGTATTTTGCCCCTTTACATACTATACTTTGTAAATGAATTATCGTTTGAACTTTCACATTGACAAAATAATGCATTTTACTGTACTTATAATGCATTTTACAAGTCAATAATGATAAAATAATGTTTTAATTTATATTTTCACAAAACTAGAAACGAGAATAGCAAACAAGAAATTTAGTTTTGTTATTTCCAAAATTGTGTTTTTTAGAGAAACAAAAACCAAAAAACAAGAAATAATAATAGTTACTAAACATAAATGTTGTATAAAAACCTATAAACGAGAAACGAGAACATTATCCGATAAGATTTTATTCTCAATCTCTATCCCAAAAATTAGTAAAGGATTGGAGTGAGTCTCCATGAAATTTTTGTCATTCTTCGTAATCGTCATATGATCTAATTTACTAACTTATAAAATGATAGATGAAAAAGTAAGAAATTGAGGTCTGCTCGAAAGTTTTAAAAAGTCCATCTGGATTCTAAGAGGATTAATAGAACCATTTTTAATTTTTAAAATAGATGTTACATAACCAAAAAAATTTATCCATCAGATGCTGTAATCACATAGAAATATGCATGCTCTTTGGACTTCTATTTCATTGATATTTACATAGCATATTACAAAACACATCTCAAAATCACACACCACATTTAAACTTTTACAATTTCCATTCTCATTTAATTCCTACGGCCTTTCCCCTTCTTGTTTTTCTTTTGCTTTTTTTTTCACTTTTCCTTTCTTATCAGTTGCTTGGGATACAACAGTCTCAACTTCCACAGGCTGCACAGGTTCCAGTCCAGGGCTGCTGCCCTTACAACCTTCCTCATCATGCTCAGAATCTTCTGCGTTCCCAATACTCGACATCTCACCTACTTCCATAGGCTCCACAGGTTCCTCCAGTCCTCCACCCTCAACAGGGCTGCTGCCCTTAGAAACTTCCTCTCCATGCTTAGAATCTTCGGCATTCTCGAAACCTGACATGTCGCCTAGTTCAGTTACAGGATCATCACGTACTAGTTTAGCCAATATAGGTTCCAACTCAATCCTCCTCGAATATAAACTCTTTGAAATGGATGCCACTCGGGATATGTTTTGCTTGGGCTCGCTGACGTAAAATAAATTCGATAGCAGAATGTCAGCATCATGAGGAGATGATAGAAGTGGATAGACGTTAACTTGAAGCAAAAGGATATGGTGAGAATGTTATAAAGTTTACCTCATGCTTAAAGCAGTAGAAAGTAAATTTAGTTCATTAAGCAAGCGATCGACTACATCCAAAGGAATGCCCTCCTCTGCATTGCTTCTTGCAGCAGATAAATGGTGATGCCATTTCTCCACATTTATCTACATGAATCAACCACACAAAAAGGGATATGTCAATTTCAACTAAATGCTTTCGCTTGATTCATAAAATGTTGAAAAAATGATGAGAACCGTTACCGTTACCTTGATTTGTGAGGCATTCGATAGTATGAACTTTTGATCGCTTTTATTCTCTATCAATCTTGTCAAAGCTTCTAATGTTTCCCAAAAAGTAACAAGTTTTTCACAATCAGATTTCATCTTCTTATTTTCATCCAGAGCCAAGCTAGAAGAAGATGATGGAAGTTGTGTAACTATCCCCAGATCACAACTTTTGGATGACGGCATTTGTCTGGTGTTAGTATTAGTACTATTTCCATCTTGCGCTTTCGGAGCTTCAGCTCGGTGTTGCATTGTTTCAACTTCCTTAGGAAACAAAGCCTTCAGTAAGTCGTCAATCTGATGGCTGATATTCAAGTTGACAAAAGTTGCATCTCTACAAATGAATTGTTGACGATTTCCATCCAAACTGACAATAACCATTGGATTTCCGATTTCCTTGAAGAATCCGGCCATCATATTTGCATCATTAGTTGGTGGTACATGAAAGTTTTTCTTTCTCCTAAGTGCATTGTAGAAATTCCATGGTAAATGTTCAGTAATGTAGTTGCGTCCACGCAAATTCTGGAGTACATCGAAGCAAATGCCAAAGTTCAGATGAAGTAAACAAATGGCAACAACCAGTTTCTGCACCAATACCGGATAGTACTCCTTCACATTTGGATGTGTCTTTCTCATCCAATCCAGCGTCGCTATCTTGTCGAAAAGAAACTGCGTAAGGATACCAGCCAAAAACCTGAGCGTTGCCTGAAAAGAATTCTGGGTTCGAGCACCTGAAATGGAAGTTATGATGGAATTTCCTTCATGGAAGATGAGCCATTCAACAAAAGAGGCTTTTGTAGTGATGAAGTATCCCCCCTTCAAGGATGATACCATAACCAGTAGCCTTTCAACAAGGTACATGAAACAGAACGGTGAAATATAATCCCGGACTTGGACCCAGTTCGCATCATATGTGTCCCTCAGAGCTTCATGAAACCTCCAAACAAGAGACATTTCTTTTGCAGGGTTCCTCATGCCTTCATTCTCTGCATTCATACTGTTGAAAAGCTCCATAACGAATGCACTCCAAGGAGGATTCTCCTCTAACCATTTCACTATTTTTTCACACAATTTCTTATCGAGCTTTCCAGATCCGAGAATCATCATTGCAACCCTTCCAATTTGACCATAAGTCAGTAGATTCCATAAGCCGACATTCTCTGCGATGATTTCCCTCATCATGTTTTGACAAACACTATTAACTCTTAGAGAAATCACATTCTTCTTCAATGAAACTTGCCAATCTGGTGGAAACAAATAACTTTGAATTTCCCCTGTTGCCATTTTTAAGTACCTCTCTAGCATCCGCTTATCATGAAATCCATGTTTCAAATATTTGCTCTCCAGAAGAAATTTTACAACTTCAAACATATGAGTAAGCACCCTGCACCGACGAAACATGGAGAACTTGCTTCTGTTTGAGAGGTTATGAAGGTAGTCAAGATTTTCCAAAACCTTGATTCCAGAAGTAAGCAATTCTGTGCTCCAATAGTTCATAACAGATAAAGAAAACTGAGCAGCTTCAATTGAAACCAATTTCCCATTTCTATGAAGGAACCTTTCATCCACCTTTTTGACCCAATCAGCATCAGAGTTGAGCAATATGTGATTGTTGTTCAGCCTCCAAATACCAAAAAAACTTAAACAGAACTCCGCATAAGGGTCGGAATCATTCATGGCAAGACAATTGCAACACTCGAGGACATTCGAAACTCTGTCCTTCCAGCAATGCCAAAAGTAAACCAAAGTTTCTATGGACACCTGGTTTTTAGAAACTATTTCTTCTGAATGCTTGGTTAGATCAAAAACTAATTCATCTTCCCAAGTGTATTTTGATGAGTTCAAATGAAAATGAACATCCATAATCTTTCTAAGACAAATCATTTCACCTCTAACACTGTTGTGTTCCTTAGAGGCAATTAGATATCCTGAAAGAGTTTCCAAATTACCATTTTCATCTGATAAAATGTCTACCTCTGTGCGAACACTGTCATATAAATTTCTGGAGTCATTTTCTGCTAACAACATGGCCTTTGCCAAAAGTTCTTGCTTTTGTTGAAACTGCTTCAAGGGCCAACCTTTGCTTCCGGGCGACCAGAGAGAGTTGGCAAGAACATAATGTAGAAGAAGCATGGATGCATCACTAAAATTTCCTGCCTTGCCTAAAAGATCAGCCAGGCGAAGGAGATTACCTTTTGACTTTGCAATCTTTGCGGCCTCCAAAAAGTTTCCCTCTTCCTCTTCCAACAAAAGCAGCTCATCAAGGCAATTCAATGACTTCAAGAAGTTTCGCTTCAGATCCAAAGTTCGGAAACTTTTAATAGACTTCATCATGGATCTACTGTCTCCACTGTTGTGAAAATGAAGAGCACATCTTTCTAGGAATTCTTGTTCAAGGTTCTCTATTTCCGTAGCATCTTGTTTCCATGACAAAATGTATTGCAAACCCGTGTCGAACAACTCGCCTTCAGAGCAAGCCTTCAAACACAAAGAGAAGAAACTTCCTCTGGCATATACATCAGCAGCTCGATTATAGCACTTGGCTAGACAAAAACACTCCCCCGCCCTCTCTAGTTCCCCACATTTCTCCTCGAAAATCGCCCCTGCAAAAGCATTCCATTTTACGACGTTTTGGTTACTTGTACATCCCTAACAACAATCACAACCAAAACATAGGTAGGAAAGAGAAAAAACGTCATTGTACAATGAATTCTATCATCGACAATGAACAAACAATACAATAACCTGCCTGCTACATTATATTTTTTCAAATCAGATTTTATGAGAAAGGAAGTTAATGATCCAATCAAGTACTTGCCTGCTCTTTCAAACTCCCCTATATCGAAAAAGCATTGGGCCGCGGAATCAGCCTTCCCAATAGTTTCAAACATTACAGCAGCTTCTCTGAGGATTGCATTAGCTTCCACAGGATTTGCATTGTGGATATGTTCTGCAAAAGCTCTAAGGCCAGAGGCCTTGGATCTTCTTTCGCAATAACCATCTTCAGCTCTTTCAAAACACAGTGTTGCCATTTTATAATTTCCCTCATAATATAGCTGTGCAGTAAGAGATATGGATTAGAATTTTGCAAAGAATAGAATCTATATAAGATCCTTCACAGTTCACACCCTTGTGCAAAGAAAACAAGAATTTTGCAGCAACAAGCAAATGTAAAGAAAGAGACCTGTAAGAAAAGAGTATGTAAAGAGACACGTCAGTGAATAAGTACCTTTAGGATTTGTAAAAGTACTTTTGGAATTTTTAAAAGTAAATTCAACAACTGCTTTGAATAAGATAAAAAACAATTTACACTACTTTTAAAGAACATACCAAACTCAAACATTGGAATAGAAATAGAAGGCATTCTAACCTTAAAGCCCTGTGACCTCCAGTCCTGCTTACTGCTTGAAGCTAGCATAGAGTGTGCAAGAGAATCATTCAACTGTTGAACTTGTACCACACATTTTTTCTTCCAATACTCGAACAAAGGTCCACAATGCTCCTTTGTATTCTCACAAAACCACAGCCTCTGCCTCGTTCGAGTGACCGCCACATAAAGTTGCTTCAACTCAGAGCACAAAATGTTCAAGATCTCCTTCTGTTCGGATTCGTCACGAACCAATATTACCTGCTCAGCCCCAAATCCTTCCATACTGATCCCATCACCACTTCTATTTCCAAAGATCATTTTAATTGCATTTTCATTGTTTCCACATTCAAGCAAAACCGGTGCTTCCCCAGAAATTCTACTAGTCTCAGGCTTCAAAATGTCGATAGATTGTGGAAAAAAGTGATAGAGAAGATCAATTATGCTTTGTGATAGGTTAAGAACTCCGGCATGGGTTCGAAAGTTCTGGCTTAGATGAAAAATCTCCGAGATTTGTCCTTTATCTTCTCTTTCAGAACCTCTACTGCTTATCTTTGGTCGTACAAACTTCTTATAGAACAAGGATCTTATATCTTGGAACCTGAAATCAATCCCCCTTGCAATGGTTTGAGCTGTATCACCTGAAAACACAAACCCCTCTTGAACATTTCTACAGACATAACTAAAAAGAGCAATTTGACTCATGCTTAAATCCTGCACTTCATCAATATAAATGAAATCTAATTCATCTCCTTCATATCCTTGATCTCTAAGGCGATGATGTAGATCAATAACGAAATCGCCCAAATCAAACTCCCTATTTTGGACCTTTAACTTTTCATAACTTTGGAAGATATCATATATTATCTCTCTCTCCAGCCTACTCAAGCTCGATGTTCGGCCCTCAGCCAATAAAATATAGTCCTCTTTACTTAGTATACCGTCACCTGCATCCATGGCTCGAGGATCCCCTTTTATATGAGAAATAATCTCGGTGAAAACTCTTGAACAGTCTAGCTTTTTCGTTAGTTGTGAATTGAAATGGGGCCAATAAGACGAACTGAAACGATCATAGCTAACTTCGTTCTTCCTTATAAAGGACTGCAAGGCAACAGATCGTGAGCCGCGGGTTTGACCATGTAACAGTTGTCTTGCATCACAAAATCTCTCGAAATATGAATCACGCAGAGTTCCATCCAGCATCATCAAGAACTTGTAGAATGTTATCACTAGAGGAAATGACTTGGGTGGAATATTGACAAAGGAATCTGGGACATCCATTAACTGTGCTTCTAAGCCATCCATATTTTCCATATCAAATGCAGCTTTCCCTTTAGAATCCCCACCACAGGCATGGCTGTAAATTACATTAAATTTAGTACAACATAATCAAGATCTTAAATACAAAAACATTTTCCAAAGAAAAAAGTATATCAAATCTTAAACCGATTCGATTCACACCCCACCTTTTCAAGTGAGATACATGCTGTCTAACAGCATAGCAAAGTTTTGGACTAACTGTCAGGAAAAGCTGCCGTAAAACAGCTCCATTTGTCTCTGCTGGACTTTCTGAAGTCTTATTATTTTGACTAACATCCGAACTTATACTGTTTTCGACTTCGTGGAATTGTGTTACCAAATGATGCAACTTTTCCTTCTGAAATAACTTCATAGTCAATACAGTAGTTTTCCCTGTTCCGGACCGTCCAAGTATGAAAGTGCTTCTGGGATAAAGGATTATCTCAATTTCTTCTTCTGTTACTTCAAATGGGAGGTCCAATTCAATGCCATCTCTATCAGAAAGCAAATGGCTCACAACACCAGAGGATAAGGAGTAAAATTTCATCAGTAACAAACTATCTTTGACCTTCGAATTCTCAACATAACTTCTACCATCATAAGCAGCACCTTGTAAGTTGTCCCCATTCGAATCGTCAATATGACTCTTGTACCGAACGAGCTCCGATGAAAATACCCAAGTCTTGGGAACTTCCAGAAAATCCCTAAGCGTGAAATAAAAATCCAAAAAGTTAGAAACCATTTTGAAGTAAAGCACAAGATTTGAACCATATATAGAAATCTTTCTTAATAGCTTTAAAATATAGACATGGAGAAAATCTCACAACAATGCTACATACCCATCATAACATATCTCTTGACAAAGATTGATGTATTCATCAGTGTAAGAGCTGAATATACTGTCAAGATGCTTGATCAATTTTGAAATATCCTCAAGAAGCAAGACATCCCAAATCCTCAAGACTTGCATATATGTTGATTCTTCTTTTACTATATCAATTGCACAAATAACATAGAGACGTTCGACCTTGATTTTCTTCAAAATCCTCGTTGAGCTTCCGCATACCAAATTTAAATCTCTTGTTCTAGGCCTCCATCCATTGGAAAGTTTTAGTAGAAGATTCAAAACCTTTTTCCTCGTCTCAATTGTTGACAATTTCTTGAATGATTTCAAAAACCTATCACTGAATAGAACCTATACATATAAAAAGAAGCAATAAACAAAAAGGCCAGATGAATAAAAAGCAAATAAATAATGAGAAACTATGCAGGGCTTGAACCTTCCATCTTGCATTTCTGAAAAGAATACTATCTCCCTTCAATAAATCATCAAGCTGATTGAACTCTTTCTTTACTTCCAATATAGCTTTGGCCAGGCTCTCATCATCATCAGCATTGAAGAAACAACCACGTTGCTTAGCATCAGAGACCAGATGAGCCCAAGAAGACTCGCTGTTCGACAATGTTTTATCATTCCCCAATATCCATAGACAATATCTGATGCATAATTATGGGCAGTAAGTATTCAACAAACAGATATAAGATGAAGCAAATATAAATATGAAATGTAGAATTGTAATGAACGGTACCTAGCTCTTGTAAGAGCAACATTTGTCCTCTGATCACAGGATAAAAATCCAACAGAAGAACCTCTATTTGATCTTACCGTAGAAATAATAATAATATCCTCCTCTCCACCCTGAAAGCCATCAACCGATTTCACTTTCACTTTAAAGCCATCAAGGTTGTCATACTTATGTCCAATTTTCTCCTTAATTGTAGATACTTGAGCAGAATATGGTGAGATAACACCAATGCTAAGCTTCTCTTTCGAACTTGTCCACACTGTAAAAAGAGAAACCAAAATATAGACTAATGTTGTAATATAATAACAAAATAGCAAAAGTACACTTCCAAAAACTGAATGTCAGTTGCAGAATTAAAAAAGATAAATGAAGCTAGTCACTCCAGACACGCAGTCTGCTTCAGTATTGTTTTAGGGTTCATTATTATTGCTGTTATATAGTTTGCATAAACAGTCTCTCTTGTAAAAAATTATCACATGGTAGATTTCTACTGATTTTTCAGTAGTGTTTTTTTTTTTTCCGTAAAGAATTTTTCATGTAAATGTATGTTGATTACATCTTACTTTGTCAAGTTTCTCACTTTTTCCTAACATCCTTTAAATATTGTTTCACATCTGACTAATCATTCAAACAAAATTTCTATTGTTAGCATCTTAAGAGATTTAATTCAACCTTGCTGTTGATTTCACAGGCTTACAATATTTTTTCTATAACAATTCACTTGCAATATTTCCAAAAAGAAGGGAACAATTACAACAGTGTTGTAAGTCCTATTGTACTTAGGATAAATTCAGGTTGAAAAAATAGGAATAAATAATACAACTAGAAGAAGGCTCAAACTAGACATACCTTTGTACAAATTTCGCACTATTTTCAGAGCAACCGCCACCTCAAGCATATTTTTTCGACTGTGTCCAATATCATCCTTCTCTTCTCTTCCATACTTTATGTTTATGAAAGAATAGGGACCAAACATAGACCCCAAAAGATAGTTCTTCCGATAGCTTAAACTTTGAACATTAGGACCATCTAAGATCTGGCTATAATAGAATTTAGAATTTGGGAACAAACTTATAGATGGGTGCATTCTGTACTGCACATTGAGAAGGTGTCTTGGGTGGCCCAAAGAGCTGAACCTCTCAAATAAACTTCTTCCAAAGCCAGCATTACTAGCAAGCTTAAGACAAGAGTACAAAGTCTAATTAGAACTTGAGTTTTGAAAACTCGGGAAACTCAACTAAAACAGTAATTATTTACAAATAAACACACTTTACCTTGCTTTCAACCATTGCTGGTAATTGGCACTCATCACCTATGAGTATGGCGTGCTTAATATATGGAAGCTGTAAGGGGATCGCTGACTCACACTCTTTCAGTTGTGCTGCTTCATCAATTACTAAAACTTTGAAAGGCTCAATCGACATTGAATGTAACCTGTACGAGCTTGAAGCAGTGGAGAAAACCAAAGAAGCATTCTGAAAGCAGAATTCCTCGATCGCAACTCTGTTTATGGCACTTGGTAGTTTAAGTTCAGCTAAGGAACATTGAAGAGATTTCAAACTAGAGAGGCAACCACTTCTTGTCAAGTCGAACAGGTATGCAAAATCTATAGATATTGTAGGGAGATCTTTACATACAATAGGACGTGTAAAAAGCTCCTCAAGTACTTCAGAAAGAACAGATTCTCGAAACAGTAAATTTTCAAAAGAATCTAGTGATCTAATAAGTGAAGGCATGTCCTGAAAACTATCCTCCAAATATTTTTTAGGTAAATGAGTACAGAATATTGAAAGACATCCTCTGACTTGAGATGCAACAGACCTAAACCTCTCTCTTGCAAATTCAAGAAAAGATTTACAGACCACCTCATCATTTTTAGCTTCCTTTATGACATCCTTCTCGTCAGTTTCTTTATTGCAACTCCAGTCTTGATTTCGCTCATTTTCCAAGAAGATATTATACTGAGAAACACAATCTTCAAAAAAATCAATCATGGATGCAAAGCAATGCCTCCAACCAGTGAGTGAACCCAAGCAATCCGCAAATTTTTGAACCCGATAATCCAAATGTATTTCTTCAACATTTGAGCCAACTTTGAGCCTCTCCTTATTTCCAAATAAAAGAACATCCCCCAAAGAATAGGATAAACAATCTGGTCCGTACAGCTCCTTGACCAAATTGACCAAATTAAGGACTCGTGAAGCCACTTCTACAATGGCAACATTTGTTGGAGCTACTGTAATGGTTTTGCATCTATTCTTCATTAGATGAAAGAGCAACACGCTAACAGTCTTTGTTTTCCCCGTCCCAGGTGGCCCCCATATAAGTTCAACAAAAGATTTGTGCTCAAGGCCAACTTTGTAAAGGCATGACATAACCGCCCTAACTTGAGAGTCATTCAATGAAGATAGAAATTCCAAATTCATTTTTTGTTGCAAAAGGCTAGACATGTCATAATCTTCACTACCCTGTAGTGAAAAAGAAAAAAATGAGATTTTTA